TACACTGTGATATACACTACACTGTGATATACACTGCACTGTGATATACACTACACTGTGATATACACTACACTGTGATTTTACACTACACTGAGATATACACTACACTGAGATATACACTACACTGCGATATACACTACACTGTGATATACACTACACTGTGATATACACTACACTGTGATATACACTACACTGTGATATACACTACACTGTGATATACACTACACTGTGATATACACTACACTGTGATATACACTACACTGAGATATACACTACACTGAGATATACACTACACTGCGTATACACTACACTGTGATATACACTACACTGTGATATACACTACACTGTGATATACACTACACTGTGATATACACTACACTGTGATATCACTACACTGTGATATACACTACACTGTGATATACATACACTGTGATATACACTACACTTGCTTTGATATACACTACACTGTGATATACACACACTGTGATATACACTACTCTGTGATATACACTACACTGTGATATACACTACACTGTGATATACACTACACTGAGATATACACTACACTGTGATATACACTACACTGTGATATACACTACACTGTGATATACACTACACTGTGATATACACTACACTGTGATATACACTACACTGTGATATACACTACACTGTGATATACACTACACTGTGATATACACTACACTGTGATATACACTACACTGTGATATACACTACACTGTGATATACACTACACTGTGATATACACTACATGTGATATACACTACACTGTGATATACACTACACTGAGATATACACTACACTGAGATATACACTACACTGAGATATACACTACACTGAGATATACACTACACTGTGATATACACTACACTGTGATATACACTACACTGTGATATACACTACACTGTGATATACACTACATTGATTACACTACACTGGTGATATACACTACACTGAGATATACACTACACTGTGATATACACTACAACTGAGATATACACTACACTGTGATATACACTACACTGAGATATACACTACACTGAGATATACACTACACTGTGATATACACTACACTGTGATATACACTACACTGAGATATACACTACACTGTGATATACACTACACTGTTGATATACACTACACTGTGATATACACTACACTGAGATATACACTACACTGAGATATACACTACACTGAGATATACACTACACTGTAGATATACACTACACTGAGATATACACTACACTGTGATATACACTACACTGTGATATACACTACACTGAGATATACACTACACTGTGATATACACTACACTGAGAATACACTACACTGAGATATACACTACACTGAGATATACACTACACTGAGATATACACTACACTGAGATATACACTACACTGAGATATACACTACACTGTGATATACACTACACTGTGATATACACTACACTGAGATATACACTACACTGTGATATACACTACACTGAGATATACACTACACTGAGATATTCACTACACTGAGATATACACTACACTGTGATATACACTACACTGTGATATACACTACACTGTGATATACACTACACTGAGATATACACTACACTGTGATATACACTACACTGTGATATACACTACACTGTGATATACACTACACTGTGATATACACTACACTGAGATATACACTACACTGAGATATACACTACACTGTGATATACACTACACTGAGATATTTCACTACAACTGAGATATACACTACACTGAGATATACACTTTCACTGTGATATACACTACACTGTGATATACACTTTCACTGTGATATACACTACACTGTGATATACACTACACTGAGATATACACTACACTGTGATATACACTACACTGAGATATACACTACACTGAGATATACACTACACTGAGATATACACTACACTGTGATATACACTACACTGTGATATACACCTTTATACACTACATGTGATATACACTACACTGTGATATACACTACACTGTGATATACACTACACTGTGATATACACTACACTGTGATATACACTACACTGAGATATACACTACAAATGTGATATACACTACACTGTGATATACACTACACTGTGATATACACTACACTGAGATATACACTACACTGAGATATACACTACACTGAGATATACACTACACTGAGATATACACTACACTGTGATATACACTACACTGTGATATACACTACACTGTGATAACACTACACTGAGTATACACTACACTGAGATATACACTACACTGTGATATACACTACACTGTGATATACACTACACTGTGATATACACTACACCCGTGATATACACTACACTGTGATATACACTACACTGTGATATACACTACACTGTGATATACACTACACTGTGATATACACTACACTGTGAGATATACACTACACTGTGATATACACTACACTGTGATATACACTACACTGTGATATACACTACACTGAGATATACACTACACTGAGATATACACTACACTGAGATATACACTACACTGTGATTACACTACACTGAGATATACACTACACTGAGATATACACTACACTGTGATATACACTACACTGTGATATACACTACACTGTGAAAATTAACAACTACACTGTGTAAATACACTTTATATCCTACACTGTAATTTTATGTCTTCTACCTGTGATAGGTAATTTTGTGTTATCTGCAGATGAATACAAAGTGTGATGTTTTTACGCTGTGTGGGATGAGAACAACAAAGGTGCCAGAACACTCACTGGAAACTGATTACCTCGTGATGCTGCGTTTTCCCCTGTTTACTACTACTTTTGTGTATACTGTGTTTAGGAACCCGAAAATTTCTACTACACCTCCGTATATACACTGGCCCTGGCCCTGGCCTACACTGGCCCTGGGCTAGGCCCTCATGTCACTGCAATCACCCCACTGATCACACCTGTCAGATTACCTCAAAATTTTGTGTATGCACATGTACAAATGAGATATACATACATGTGAAATACACATTGTACAGGGACTGAGTTTTACACACACTGGTTAAATTACGTGTATGAGATATACACACACTGTAGGTAGCACATGTAAGTGTAATGGTTTCACCAGTGTGTAGACTGTTGTATGGTTAAAATTTTTAGAATGTATCTGAGATGATAATCAAAAGTGTGACGAGTGTCTATTTATCTGTCTGCTGTAGTGATGAGAAACAGCAGAGGTGCCACTGACACTGGCCTTCAGGAACTGAGTTTTTTTGACTCGCTGAGTGTGCGTTTTGCTTGTTTACACTACATAGTGTGATTGTGTGTAGAACCGAAAATCCTTCTAGACTACCTTCCCGTAATATCCTGCCCTGGCCTGGCCTGGCCCTGGCCCTGGCCTGGCCCCATGCTGAAATCCCCCATGATCACACTTGTCAGATGCCCTTTTCAAAATTTTGTGTAAACACATGTACAGTGTACTGAGATATAAACACACGGTGTAGCACATGTACAGTTATGAGTTACAGCACATGAGTTTAGACTGTACAGTGTACTGGGTATACAGCACACTGAGTGTAGCACATGTACAGTGTACTGAGATATACACCACACTGTGTGTAGCACATGTACAGTGTACTGAGATATACACCACACTGTGTGTAGCACATGTACAGTGTACTGAGATATACAGCACACTGAGTGTAGCACATGTACAGTGTACTGAGATATACACCACACTGTGTGTAGCACATGTACAGTGTACTGAGATATACAGCACACTGAGTGTAGCATATGTACAGTGTACTGAGATATACACCACACTGTGTGTAGCACATGTACAGTGTACTGAGATATACAGCACACTGAGTGTAGCACATGTACAGTGTACTGAGATATACAGCACACTGAGTGTAGCACATGTACAGTGTACTGAGATATACAGCACACTGAGTGTAGAACATGTACAGTGTACTGAGATATACAGCACACTGAGTGTAGCACATGTACAGTGTACTGAGATATACAGCACACTGTGTGTAGCACATGTACAGTGTACTGAGATATACAGCCACTGAGTGTAGCACATGTACAGTGTACTGAGATATACACCACACTGAGTGTAGCACATGTACAGTGTACTGAGATATACACCACACTGAGTGTAGCACATGTACAGTGTACTGAGATATACACCACACTGTGTGTAGCACATGTACAGTGTACTGAGATATACACCACACTGAGTGTAGCACATGTACAGTGTACTGAGATATACAGCACACTGAGTGTAGCACATGTACAGTGTACTGAGATATACAGCACACTGAGTGTAGCACATGTACAGTGTACTGAGATATACAGCACACTGTGTGTAGCACATGTACAGTGTACTGAGATATACAGCACACTGTGTGTAGCACATGTACAGTGTACTGAGATATACAGCACACTGAGTGTAGCACATGTACAGTGTACTGAGATATACACCACACTGAGTGTAGCACATGTACAGTGTACTGAGATATACACCACACTGAGTGTAGCACATGTACAGTGTACTGAGATATACACCACACTGTGTGTAGCACATGTACAGTGTACTGAGATATACAGCACACTGAGTGTAGCACATGTACAGTGTACTGAGATATACAGCACACTGAGTGTAGCACATGTACAGTGTACTGAGATATACAGCACACTGAGTGTAGCACATGTACAGTGTACTGAGATATACAGCACACTGTGTGTAGCACATGTACAGTGTACTGAGATATACAGCACACTGTGTGTAGCACATGTACAGTGTACTGAGATATACACCACACTGAGTGTAGCACATGTACAGTGTACTGAGATATACAGCACACTGTGTGTAGCACATGTACAGTGTACAGAGATATACACCACACTGAGAGATATACACTGATGTTCACAACTATACTGTGTTGACGGGAATATTGTGTTTGTGTTTACAGAGATCTGGAGGGTAACAACCTGACGGTGATACACTCAGCTGACTTCGAACACCTAGCTGACCTCCGTATTCTGTAAGTACTCTATGTACTCTACTGTGTGTACTATACTTTCAAACCTGACACTGTGTGAGTCTTATACTGTGTGTAATGTACTCTCAAACCTGACACTGTGTGAGTCTTATATTGTGTGTATTGTACTCTCAAACCTGACACTGTGTGAGTCTTATACTGTGTGTACTGTACTCTCAAACCTGACACTGTGTGGGTCTTATACTGTGTGTAATGTACTCTCAAACCTGACACTGTGTGAGTCTTATATTGTGTGTATTGTACTCTCAAACCTGACACTGTGTGTACTGTACTCTCAAATCTAACACTGTGTGTCTTATACTGTGTGTACTGTACTCTCAAACCTGACACTGTGTGAGTCTTATATTGTGTGTATTGTACTCTCAAACCTGACACTGTGTACTGTACTCTCAAACCTGACACTGTGTGGGTCTTATACTGTGTGTAATGTACTCTCAAACCTGACACTGTGTGAGTCTTATATTGTGTGTATTGTACTCTCAAACCTGACACTGTGTACTGTACTCTCAAACCTGACACTGTGTGGGTCTTATACTGTGTGTAATGTACTCTCAAACCTGACACTGTGTGAGTCTTATATTGTGTGTATTGTACTCTCAAACCTGACACTGTGTACTGTACTCTCAAACCTGACACTGTGTGGGTCTTATACTGTGTGTAATGTACTCTCAAACCTGACACTGTGTGAGTCTTATATTGTGTGTATTGTACTCTCAAACCTGACACTGTGTGTACTGTACTCTCAAATCTAACACTGTGTGTAATGTACTCTCAAACCTGACACTGTGTGAGTCTTATATTGTGTGTATTTTACTCTCAAACCTGACACTGTGTGTACTGTACTCTCAAATCTAACACTGTGTGTCTTATACTGTGTGTACTGTACTCTCAAACCTAACACTGTGTGAGTCTTATACTGTGTGTATTGTACTCTCAAACCTGACACTGTGTGTTTTATACTATGTGTACTCTACTGTGTGTGTGTACTGTACTCACAACGTAAATATACGCACGTACTCTGCTCAAGAGGACAGGGTAGCCGTGAAAGTATGCGGATTTGTAATTTCCACGCTGGCTGGACCCGGGCTATAACAACAGGTGCTCACACAACGATAAAAAAATGAGAAAAGAAAAGACTGTAGGTGTGTGTTTGAAGAATGTTCCGCTTGGTTAAGTGAAGGAGGCTGCCGAGGTGTTACCAGACGGAGGATTGAGCCTTCAACACTCACGACGCTGCAACACACACCACCACCACCAATACTTTGTAGTAATTGTGATGATGATAATAGTAATGATAGTATAAAAATAATAATAATAATGATATTAATGACAATTTAGGTAATGTATCGTGGTTATTGCTGTTGTAGTAGTGGTGGTGGTGGTAGTAGTAGTAGTGGTGGTGGTAGTAGTAGTAGCGGTGGTGGTAGTAGTAGTAGCGGTGGTGGTAGTAGTAGTAGTAGCAGTGGTAGTAATAGTAGTGGTGTGGTGGTGCTAGTAGTAGTGGTGGTGGTAGTAGTAGTAGTGGTGGTGGTAGTAGTAGTAGCGGTGGTGGTAGTAGTAGTAGCGGTGGTGGTAGTAGTAGTAGTAGCAGTGGTAGTAATAGTAGTGGTGTGGTGCTAGTAGTAGTGGTGGTAGTAGTAGTAGTGGTGGTGCTAGTACTAGTGGTGGTAGTAGTACTAGTGGTGGTAGTAGTACTAGTAGTAGTGGTAGTAGTAGTGGTAGTAGTAGTAGTAGTGGTGATAGTAGTGGTGGTGGTGGTACTAGTAGTAGTAGTAATGGTGGTGCTAGTAGTGGTAGTAGTAGTAGTGATGGTGGTGCTAGTACTAGTGGTGGTAGTAGTACTAGTAGTAGTGGTAGTAGTGGTGGTAGTAGTAGTGGTGGTGGTAGTAGTGGTGGTGGTACTAGTAGTAGTAGTAGTAGTAATGGTGGTGCTAGTAGTGGTAGTAGTAGTAGCGGTGGTGGTGTTAGTAGTAGTGGTAGTAGTAATGGTGGTGCTAGTAGTGGTAGTAGTAGTAGCGGTGGTGGTGCTAGTAGTAGTGGTAGTAGTAATGGTGGTGCTAGTAGTGGTAGTAGTAGTAGCGGTGGTGGTGCTAGTAGTGGTAGTAGTAGTAGCAGTGGTGGTGCTAGTAGTGGTAGTAGTAGTAGCAGTGGTGGTGCTAGTAGTAGTGGTAGTTACTGGCATCTTCAACTATTGCAAGAAGCAACAAGATTAAAATTGATGTCTAACATTAATTAACGTTCTTGCTGACTCCTCCTCCTCCACTAACCAGCTTGAACAACAAGCACCTGAACACACATATATCTATCGATACATCCTCCCAGTGCACCTATCGACCTTCCAATTATCTCAAGACTTACCTTCAGTCTATTGTAAGTTGAATTTGGTGGACGATAGACAGGAAGAGCTATAACAGCCTGTCCTCAACTATGTTTTTACAGTACAGTATTGTATTGTTGTATTCAGTACCGTGTGTTGTATTTATCTATCGGCACTGTTTTATCCAGTACTGTGTATTGTATCAGTTTATATCAGTATTTTTGAAGACTTGTATATATATCTCTCTTGTGTTGTGTTAGGGGGGATATGATTGAGGTGTATAAATGGAAGACAGGAATAAATAAAGGGGTGTAAATAGTGTGCTAAAAATATCTAGCCTAGACAGGACTCGCAGCAGTGGTTTAAAGTTGGAAAAATTCATATTCAGGAAGGATATAAGAACATAAGAACGAAGGAACACTGCAGCAGGCCTACTGGCCCATGCGAGGCAGGTCCAAGTCTCCTACCGGCTTAAGCCAATGCACCCAACCTAGTCAGGTCAGGTCACATTGACTTAAGGGAGGAACACGGCAACCGACCTGGTAGCACAAGCTATCAGGTCCAACTCACACCCACCCACATCTACTCATGTATTTATCCAACCTATTTTTAAAGCTACACAACGTTCTGGCCTCTATAACTGTACTTGGGAGTTTGGTAATAGAGTTGTGGATGAGTGGAATAAACTCCCAAGTACCGTCATTGAAGCTAAAACGCTGTGTAGTTTAAAAATAGGTTAGATAAATACGTGAGTAGGTGTGGGTGGGTGTGAGTTGGACCTGACTAACTTGTGCTACTAGATCAGATGCCGTGACTAGGTTAAGGCATTGGCTTAAGCTGGTGGGAGAATTGGACCTTCCTTGCATGGGCCAGTAGGCCTGTTGCAGTCTTCCTTCTTTCTTATATACTGAGAGAAGCAATGTATATACACGTGGTGTGTATATGTCAGTATATATACACGTGGAGGGGTATATATGTCAGTATACACACATCGACGTGTGTATATGTCAGTATATACACGTGGAGGAGGTATGTATATGGTATATATGTCAGCATATACACGTGGAGGAGGTATGTATATGGTATATATGTCAGCATATACATACACATGGATGAGTATATATACACGTATACTGTTCATTCTTGAGTAGTGATGTATAGGTGACATACAGTCTTAATATACACGATCATTCCTGGTCCATTCCCAGCGGCGTCTGGAGGACACGGACGACTGACATGAAAAGGCCTTAGAACGAACTACTACGAACAGATGGCAAAACAGATGGTGAGACAGATGGTGCGACAGTCCCCTGGAGGAAGTCAACAGATAAAAGAGATAAAGGAGAGAGGGAGACAGGAGGATAAACACATTGTAGACAGGAAAGGGAAGCTGTCTGTTCTGTGGACTCCCTACTGTGTGACGCGCTACCGCAAGGTAGGTCCCCGTAATATACGCCGGGAAGACGCAAGCAAGAAATACGCACGAGGACACGAAGGGTATTGCGTCGTACGTCAAAAGAGGAGACAGCATTGTCAATATTGTGGCCCCCCTACTGTGTGACGCTCTACCGCAAGGTGGATCCGTAGTATACGCCGGGAAGACGCGAGAAATACGCACGCGGGACGCGAAGGGTATTGCGTCGTACGTCAATGGGGGAGGGAGTAAGGAAGGGTGTAATAAAGGATAGTTGAAGGAATAGCAAAGAGGGAAGAATAATGTTTTTTTAAGAGTAGTTACGATACTGGAATGTTAGTTACGGTCTTTATGTTTCGGTCTTTAGTGTGTACTCACCTAGTTGTGGTTGCAGGGGTCGATTCATAGCTCCTGGCCCCGTCTCTTCACTGGTCGCTACTGAGTCACTCTCCCTGAACAACGAGCTTTTGTGTGTGTGTGTGTGTATGTGCGTGTATATGTATGTGTTTACCTATTTGTAGTTGCAGGGGTTGAGTCGCAGCTCCTGGATCCATGTGCGTGTAAAATTTACCCTACACAAGGGGTAACTTCACCAATATTACAAAAGTCACTGAAAAAATATCAATTTTTTTTCCATTAAGTTCCACATTTAAGGCAAACTTGAATGCTAAATCTAAGTACAAACGTAACAACAAACGTGCAGTATAACGTTGTTTGTGGAAACACATGCGGTTGTTACGTATAACTTTAATTGGTTAGAATCTGGTTGATCAGACTCTGACACACCAGGAGGCCTGGTCACAGACCGGGCCGCGGGGGCGTTGACCCCCGGAACTCTCTCCAGGTAAACTCCAGGTAATAAACATGTTAAGCCAGTAACATTTATCCAGAGAGAAGGTTATTTATATCAATCATTTTGTTTGGTCTAGATAAAAATTTAACAATGGTTATAAATGACCATAATTTTTAAAGGGGTGGACCGGTAAGCCAGCGGAAGGCCTCGGTCAGATGACCAAAAGCTCCAAAGGCGGGTCATCATCTGACTAAGACCCGGTCAGGAAACATTTGTCCTGTTTCCTGACGAACCTTACCTAACCTAATCTTTGGTCTAGATACAACCATAATTTTTGAAGTGGTGGAGGGGTAAGCCAGCGGAAGGCCTCGGTCAGATGGCCAAAATCTTCAGCTGTGGGTCATCATATGACCAAGACCCGCGTCAGGAAACACTTGTCCTGTTTCCTGACAAACTTTA